CCCACACTCGCCCATTTATGCGAATATAAGTTTAAAAAGTTTCGTAACGCATAAAAAAAAATTGTTAATTTTTTTCGAAATGTTGTACTAGTACACAGATATTTAAAGTACTGACAACTGATATTTAGTTGAGACATGCTCCAACGTGGTGAGAAACCAGGATGAATGTAAACAAAAACTAGCAACTCAAAATTTATCTCACATTAGATATTTAACGATTAGCCCCATACAATTAATTAATAGTATATTAAAAAATATACCAATATCTAACAATACCTTGGCTATTGTGGACACATTTTTTTAAATAAAAGTTGCCGGAACTTAGCGCTAGAGCAACCCAATCTGCAGCATGTTCTTTATTCTACAAAACGTTTTTTATCATTATTTAATAGCATGCTTCATCAGAACTTGATAAAGGCATGGGCCAATTATTATTCCTGATTATAATTAATGCGGCTTAATGATTTTTATTTAAGCTGTTTTTACGTTTCCCACTTCTAACAATTAAGCTCTTCATAAGAGCTACAAAAATTTGGTGTGAGACATTAATTAAATACAATACATCTTTTTTAAATATTTTTTCAAAGCAGAAACTCATTCGTAAAAATTATGAACCCAATCTTTATATATTTTAATAAATCATAAAGAGGAAACGTGATAATTATATATACTTGTATATGTTATGTAGACTTTTCATACAAAAATCGACTGCTTTCAAACATTTTGCCCTACCACAATTTCAAATTGTAACTAATTACCGCAAATGTCCCTCATAAAACAATAGTAATTACTAAAAGTAAAGTCTAAAATTTTAGTGAGTACTAAAGTCGCGCACTTAAAACATTAAGTTAATTTAATTAAGTGAAATTTATTGGAAATCTCTACGGCTGCAGAATTTTATTATGTAATGTAAATACTAAAAATCAATTTTAACGCATCATTAACCACTTAACCGTAGCGCAACGTGGCAAAGCCTTGCATAAGACATACTTCAGTATCTGTGGATGTAATAAAAATTTACTAATTATTTCAGTATTTTATGAAACGATAAAATGCATTACAGACTAATTTTCGCAACACTTAATAAAAATTTTAATTATGAAGTTTTAAGCATACTGGAGTTGCGCTTTCAAACAGTTTTGGCGGCATTAGTAATAAATATATGAGTATATTTATATTTGTGTATGCATGTATCTAAGTATAAGGTGAAATTATGTTTGTGAAGTGGGAGTCAGCAAACAAGCCTATATCCCCTGAGCAATCAGAAGACTTAAGCGCGAAACTCGTTGACTTGCATCAGTCTCTTACTGCTTTTAAAGAATTCTTTATTGGGTTTTGGGTATTTTATTTATTAGATATTTAGGTAGTTTTTTGACTTAACTATCTCGATTGGCAAAATGTGCTTTCCTATCATCATTAAATTGTATACATATGTTTGCTTCCTAGTTGAAAAATCAATTCGAAAATTCTCCTTAAAAGCACCGTGATTCAGAGCTATCACAAAATGAATGATGTTAACTGATACGACTTGTTGTTTGTGCAAAATTTTAATTTGGAAGGCTCGAATCAACGGAAAACCATCAGGAAAAATTAAAAACATACGAGTACTGCTTCTGACATTCCAATCGCTATGAACTCGGTCAAAAATTAATTATAAATTAAATTGTAATCAGATGAATACATTAATGACCAAATTGCATTACTTTTAAGTGGTTTGATGGCATCACTTGATATTACTTCTAATGAAAGGCCATAAAAAAATGATTTTTTAACATGCTATATTTATATCACATGATTATGCAATGTCTGCTGTACATAAGTACGCATAGCAAACAATCATATCGTTATATGTGTTTGAATGTATACTACATATTAGTGGTATGTCATTTGCCGAAATGTGACTTTATGCTATGATTTCTCATGATGTGATATGTATGTCATATGACGATTTATCATATGATGTGCATATGTGTTACAAATTTTGTGATAAACGAATAATATGAGTTTTAAGTAACATATAATTTGATTTTTATGCATAACATAAACCATGTGATGTCACATCTTATAAATGGTAATCATGAATTCGCAACATATATTGGTTGGCAAATATTATTTGTAGCAAAGATGTTATGTCACAAGGCGAATAAACAGTATTAGGACACAATCTTTTAAAAAACATTAATATAATTCAACATTACTAGCAAGCGACAATTATATCATATCCAAATATCATTTGATCTGATCTCAGCTAATCACACTTGTCGGAAATTTTGATATTTATTTAGTTTGAAAACAACTTAAATTTTTATCTTACAACAATTATTATTATTTTTATTATTACTACCCCCAAGATTTACTATATCTGAGAAAATAAATACAAATTTCGCCACACAATTGCTTGCAACAAAATTATATTTATTTTTAATGATTTGTTTTTCTGCCTTTTTGAACTGCACAAGTTTTCGTGTTGCACGTTTCCGTCGAACTGCATATTTTCGTTTTATTTTGACGCGCACGCGCACACGGCATGGCACATGTCAACACCAAAGCCACCAGCACAAGCACCAACATACAATGACAGCAACCAAAACCACGGCAACCGCTACCACAAACTGGGCAAACACATGACAAAGCATGCACTTGCACACATACTTATTCTAGCGAAACTCGAGCATTTTCATGCTTGATTTGCTGCACTTGCGATTGAGTAATGTGACAAGTGCGATCGTGAATTTCATAGCGACCGTAACAAAATGCATACACACATACATATATATATTGTAATATATGTATATATATCTGCATGTAAGCCGAAATACACTAAACCAACTGTCAAGCTGCACTGCTGACGGCCTAACTGATTGTCTAGCGTATTGAGCGTTTATAGAATTGATTTGCTTGCCTCTTTGCCATTAACTTTGTTTCTTTTTTGTGAATATACTTACAACTATGAATGGTTATTTGTTATTATTATTTGGTTTATTTATTTATTATTATTTTTTTTTTCTTGAATTTTAAAATATTAGTACAGTTCTAATTTGCTATAAATCCCGACAATCAAAGCTGTTTTATTCTAGTTTTATCATTCTGATTACGTGGACCCGACTGCCATGCGAACAATTATATAAACCACCCGCTTCAGCAGTATATATTAAAATGGCAAAGTGTAGGCTCTTTCAACTAAGAAAGCCATATTCGCTCACTTATTCCAAATATACAAGAATGTTTTGACAAAAATTCTACACTGCCTCACTTCCTTCTACAGTCTGGAAAAGACTTTCTCACTATTTAAACTAATGATATGACATAACTAATTTAATAAAATCTACAAATATTTGTTTTGGTGTTAATTACTTTAGTTTGAATAATAAAATACCATAATAAATATATGTGTAGTGAAAGCGTTATGAGTCTCAGAGCATACTGGTACGAATCAATTTGCAAATATTAAGCTCGTTTAAGCATATTTTAAGACCATTCGGCGCTTTATTCCACTTTCAACCGCATAAATAATTTAACGTGAGTATATAGCTTATAATTTTTATACATTTTTTTCCATTACTTTTTTAAAAATTCTTCATATTTGCCTAAAGCAATTTTCTCACATTTTGCATTATTTATTGCCATTATTTTTGTTTTGTTTTATATTTTATTTGCTTTATTACTCTTTTTTGGCTCACTCCAAATTTACGCGAAACTGAAGCGTACGAAATTCGTGTCACAGCAAATTTTCAATTTTTCACATTAAACCGAAGTTTATGCATTTTCCGATATTTCTTAAGGTCTTTTTATGTCGCATAAGCATATTTGCTTTGCTTTGCTTTTAATGCCAGCACTAAAATGCTGTGCAACAGTTTGCGGTCAATTCGCTAACCTCCCCTTCCCCTTCTCGCCGTCTAACGTGGTGATCTTGCTGGCGCTGACAGTCTCACTAACGAATCTAATGCAAATTTTGCATTCATTATTAAATATTTTTGTGGTTTCGATCTTTTCGCTCTATTCTGTGCTATTTTCAATTCGTTTTTTTTTTTTGTTTTTTGCGATTTCGTCAGTTTTTGTGTTTGTTTGGGTTTTGGTGATTTTTCACGCTCGTGATTTGTATAAGATTTACAGCTGCTGTTGACAATCGTGTTTACACTTTGTCACCCAACTGATTGTACCTGATTTATTTATGCCTAACTATTTAGTTTTGGTTTTGTCATGTCAAATCGAGCGCCCGAAAATTATGAAAAACGATATAAAAATGTGGTGAAATAAAAATTTAATACTCGTTTGATTACTAAATTTTATGTTTGCAGGTAATTGCCTTCAAGCCAAATTTACAACGATTGCCAGATTGTCATGCAAACTAATAAAAAGGTTGAAACTTTGCAAAACTAAATTCATATTATTAAATTTTGTGTTCTCCGAATTTTTGTTTTAATAAATAGATATTTTTTAGTATAACATAAATTTTAACTAAATTTTTTCTGGCAATGAAGCTAATAATTATTTTGAAATTTGTGTTTATATATGTAGTGCTGAGCAATATAAAAAACAAAAACAAAATTGAATGAGTAAAATTTTTTAAACAGACGGCAACCCTTCTTCATATTAGTATAGGTCTCAACTGCAAAGCTCCTTAAGCCTCTTTAGTTTGAGGCCCATATTTATTGTCATAATGCGTTTTCCCTATCAATTATTTTCATTTAAAGTACATCTGGCAATCTCTTTATCATTTTTTTTTAAACAGGTAACTGCAACTTTATTTCGTCCTCTTTCCATTTCATTTTGATAACACCATCGCCATATTTCACCTATTTATCCATCTAACAGTTGTCAGTCCTTCTCCACATCTTTTTTTCAACTGTGCGGACTTAGATCTTTAGCTTTTTGAAACAGTTATATAATCGTATATAAAAAATTGTGTATTTATTTTTTTTAATTTAAATATAAAAAACTTTAAGACAACACAGTTAATAGCAAAACCTCTTAACTTTCTCCTTTTCATTGCTTTACAGAACATAAATAATTTTCAGCAACAATTCCGAATTTCACCACACTTTCGACAACAACAAACCAAACGCATCACTAACACTTGTACGCAACACTCGAACACTTCGCTCAGTTGGCACTGCAGCGTCTACGCGCCTGCGCAGCGCCACGTCAAGCGCTAAATGATTGGCACGGATGAGATGTCATCCACTGGCATGGATATAAGTGAAACATTTCGTGCGGAGGAGCTAACTAAAACGGATTTTTTCGATTTCGTCTCGGCGCCCGATATGGGCATTGGTATCGGTGTCGGCGCAGATGTGGTCGACATCGGTATGGGTGTGGGCAGTCTGCATGCGGGCAGCGTAAGCACCGGCACACATCAACATCATCAATCGCATCAGCAGCAGCAGCAACAACAGCATACGCATCATCAGCAACACAGTCACCAGCAGCAACAGCAACAACAACAACAGCATGCGCACCATCAACAACACAGTCATGAGCAAAGCAATAACTTAGCCGTCAGCATGCCACATGATGGTGGCGGTGGCACCAGCAGTGGGAGTGGTTGTGTTGGCGGACGTGTTGGCACTCCGGGTAATGGCAGCAGTTGCCTAGATGGCTCAGATGGTAACAGTAATGGCAACAATAGTGATCCAACATTGCAGGGCTATGAGGTGAGCGAAATATTTATTGATAATAAGTTGATATAGTGCAGCAAATTCAATTTATTTTTTATATAAATTATATATATATATATATCAGCTAATTGATCAGTCTGTGATCAGTGATTTTAAAAGTGATGATCACAGGAGTAATAAGATGTTATAGAATTGAGTATCAGCTGATCGATCAGTTAGTGATCAGGAAAGTGATATTCAAATTATTGATGAGTATCAACCGAACATCCAGTTCGTGATCATCAAATGAAGAACAGAGACCCAAACATATCTATAGAGGAATGATACAAGTATATACAATAACTAGCCAACTAACAACGACGACGTGAAAGATTTAGTTAATATATATGCCTTTTTTTGACCTAACGAAATCTTAACCTCTAAAAAGCGGTCAAACTTGTTTGCAATAAGTTCAACTGAGATTATGATGTTTTCACAGTCAACCCAAAAGTAACAACAAAAACAAGTATCAAAATATGAATAAAAATGTATCGGAGCAACAATAAACCAGTGTTGCTGTCATGTCAGTTGTCGACTTTAAATACCAATATAATACAAATTCAACACCAAACAACAAAAATAAAGCAAAAATTTGCGCGTAAAACGACAGCCGAGAAAATTGAGGGAACAAAATCAAAATGCAACAACAAAAGCAACTTGGAAATAATACTAACCACAACAGCGACAGCCAAAGCAGCACTTAGAGTGAAGTAGCAGCGACGAGACGGTAGCCGAAATAAAGTGAAAAAAATCCGAACAAATGCTCGTAACGTGAAAGAAAGGCAGTGGACTAGAAAAATCGATTGGCACTCAATGCGAGTGGACTCGTAGAGTTCGGTGCTTGGTAGGTAAGGCTAACAATGTACTGGCAGCTACCAAAATGTGACTACTGTTGTTGCTGCTGCTGCCGCTAATGCTGCAGCCATTTGGCAGTTGTTGTTATGCATGTTGCACCTACAGACATCCTGTTGCAAACACATTCGATACTCGTAAAATTTAGTGAATTTCCAGTGTAGACAATGCTTGTTATTGCTCTGTTAGACAAGTGAGTGTGAGTGCGGGAGGGTGCAACGCAAATGCACAACAAACACACAACAAATGCAAAGTAAAATGCATGAAATGCGAAAATCAAAAAAAAACTAGAACAAGTAACTGAAAGCGCACAGACGAATTAGGTGAGGTGCCATAAATGCCGCAAACAACAACAAGCATGCGCAGATGCAGCACGTATAAGCGACAGTTTGCTCGTGTGTATGTGTATGTGTGTGTATGTGCATAAGTGTATCAAGTTGCAACACATGCAACAATCGCCTTGGAGGGCATAGCCAAAAATTGACATGGCACGTGCTGCATGCAACAGCACTGTATGCACTCGATGAACTTGCAACCACACTTGCAACAGCAACGATGTGGGGCACGAGCCAAACAACAGCTGGCTGACTAGCTGGCTACTACAAGTTGCATTTGCCACAAACTATTGGGGTGCTGGCTGCTTTCACATGGACAGCGAAATGAGCGCGCGCACAAGCGAACAGTCAAATGGACAGTTAGCCAGTCTGATAGTCAGCCTGCCGGCTCAAGTAGTCAGCCAGTTGGTTAGATAGCACAGTAGCTGGGCGGCAGCTTCATTGTTGTGCATTTGTTGGCATTTGAATGTGCCGTTGGTGCGGTCATAGAAAGTGCAAACACATGCACCAAGTGCGCTTCAGATGATGCATGTGTGTGTATATGACTGGTATGTCTGTGTGTGTGTGTGCAGTACTTATGCGACTGAAATATTAAATTGCTTTTAGCAAAGAAAAAGTTCGAAAGTCTTTTCGTTTCACAGCTACGAATTTGTATTTTGTTTTCTTTATATTTCTTCTTCTTGCTATTTTTTCCATTTTGCATTCGGCCGAACAAAGGACTTGAGCAGCAAACTTGTTGTCGTCTTTTTATTCAATTTATGATTTTTTTTGCGTTTTTTCTTCTCATTGTTTATTTGCATTATTTGTTTAAGCCACACAATAGCACATGTAAGTTACTTGGGTTATGTAAACGCATGCAGAGAAATTACTAATGTTCGCGATTTTAGCAAAAAACTCCACTTTTGAAACTGGTTTGCATATGCTAATCGACGATTTAGAGTGTCGGCTATTACAATCTATTTGATTATGGTTGTCTGAAAACATATTTTGGGTTTTTTTTATGTTTTGATCTGTTTTGGATATGGGGGATATCCACGGTGTCATTCGTTTCTGCTCTAGAACCAATCGAACTATAAATATAAACTTCACGCGTGTCTTTTGAAGGTTAGGTTAAATGTATAGATTCAGTTTTGGAGGTATACTTTCATAGAAACCATACGATATCAGCCAGACTAGTATAAATACAATTACAACTTTGATGAAATACACAAAAATGACAAAAGGATAACAGTTATGTTTTAAACTGTACTCACGACCGGTATAGACTTGGATTTTTAACCAACCAAAAAGTGTAAACCTTTAATAGTTTAAATTGTTGATTCAAGCATATTTCAACTTCAATTCTCACCACTTTCACTCCCATTCAGTTCTGGCACACCGACAAGGATTCAACTAGTCGTCTGGATGCCACCATTTTTGAGGATCTCGATCGCTATTATTGGCAGCAACAGGGTGTTGGTGTGAATGCTGCGGCACCATCTATGCCTACAGCGGCGGAAACACACCAGCAACGCTCCACACCCGCTAATAGCTTACAGCATTCCTCGCATCTGCATAGCCCAGCATCGCCAAATCAAACGCATCCGCACAAACAACAGCAACAACAACAACATCTACATCATCATTCACCGCATCAGCATATGCATACGCAGCAGCAGCAGCAACAACAGCACCAACAGTCAGCCGCCATCCATCACACGCAACGACAAATGTCCCTCAACAATAGCAGTTCCTGTGCACAAAGTGCCACTCAAGTAGCCAACAACAATGCAACCAATAATAATACTTCACTCAGCCACAGCCAGCATAATAATAATAATAATGCTAGCAACAGTAACGGCAATACCAGTATGGCGGTGAATAACAGTGACGGTCAGATCTACACAATTACAGTATTAAATGGCAATGAGTCATGGCTGAAGCGTGAACCCGAGGACACCGCTGCCCAACTGTCCAACACATTGGATCTGGACAGCTTGCTTGGTAGCTTTCCGGGTTATATCAAAACAGAGTATCCCTATGATGAGAGTTCGGCTGGTTATGGTACGGCTGAAGCCAGCGTCAGGGATGGCAATGTTACTGGTGATATGGTGAATGGGCTGGTAATGGGCGCGAATGCGACAACAGGTCTGCATGGTGCCAATAGCGGGAGTGGTGTGAATAGTCAGCGGCTACCTTCACTGGTGACGGCCATTTCGTTGGCAGGCGGTGTTGGTGGCATGAGCGGTGTTGGAAGCCCGTCGCACACGCAGTTGGCACAGTTTCAAAACAACAACAACGACTGGCATATGGCGGATCACAATGCAGAGCAGGTGAGGAGAAAAACAAATATTGATTAGTATTTATGTAGAAAGAAGGTATCGTAGCAGTTGAAGGACAGCAATATTTTGGCTAAGTTTATAATGATAACTTTGAAATCTAATGTCTTCCAGCATGCTCTTATCCGTTAAAAAAAGCCAGACCTTGGCCGTACGCACTTCTAGATAATCTGACGTAAGAGTATAATTGACACCTCATAAACTACCATTTTACACGTATCAATATGTTCTGTGGAATTCGTCGAAGTTTTTAGATTGACCTAACCTATTTTTAAAGATTATAGACTCGACGTCCAAAATTAATTCAAAAACTCACTCAAAATTCCATAGGGTAGTAAACTTTGTCGTAGTGCAAGTCTTATCCCTAACAATTAGCTTATATATACTAGTTGACATTTGCAGAGTTGCATTAATAACCGAAGAAATACATTAAATACTGCTCGCTTGATTATCTACTATGTAATGATTCTTTCATTCAATCTGCGTTCCACTTTGTGGGAATCAATGAAAAAATATATTTTACAACATTCTCTCTTACCACTTTAGAACTCAGCTGAGTCCTTGCTGCGTAGCGCTTTGCAGGGTAAAGGTTATTCCAAAGGCATACACATGCAAAATGGCATTTCATTACTACCCTCCTCACCATCCGTGAAAGAAGATGAAATGCGACGGCTGCTTTTTCCACCAGATTCGGTAAGTAAGCCAACAGAAAAACCTCCCTGAACCTTCCTGTATATTTAATACATATGTACAAAATTTCATCGTGTTTAAAACTGATCAAAACTTGTTTTTTTCTCTCTCTACTCTCTTTTCACACTTCCTCAAAGGACACACTCTCTTTCGGCGACTCAACGCTCAGCGCCGCCCAGATGTTCGAGGACACACATTCATCGCAGCTAGTTGGCAGCCAACATCCTAATGGCGGCGTCAACAGCGCAGGCGTGTCCAGTCTCATGGTCGACGATATGTTCCTATCGCTAGAAAGTGCCTTCAGCGACGACTTCGAGAAGATCAAACGCATTGCCAATGAAGTGCAGCAATTCTGTTCGCCAACATCGAGTGCCGATTATGGTGCCAGCGACGTGTTGATGCAAATATCGCCAGCAGGTGGCGCAAACGCGGCCACTACGAATGTGCAACAGTTGCAACAGCAGCAACAACAGCAGCTGCTCTCACCGGCAACAACGCCCACGAGTATGCCGCAACAACAGCAACCATCGCCATTGCCACAGGCGGCTATGCCAGCGCTCCATATGACCGGACAGCAGACTGTTGTGCAACAACAACCGCGCGTTTTGCATGCACAGCAACAACACGTATCTAGTGGTAAGTCTAGCGCGGTAACCAGCAGTAGCGGTACCAGCAGCGGCAGCAATACCAAAGTGACAAAGAAATACAAGCGCTCCACATCGAGTACGCAACACCACAATAATAACAACAACAATCCAAATATAACAAATCACAACAGCGGTACGGGCACCGGCAGCAGCGTGGCTCCAGCTGGTAGCAGCAGCACAGCAAATAGCACGAATGGCCCAGCCAGCGGCGGCAGCAATTCGAGCAACAGCAGCAACAGCCCCACACACTGTAATGGTCAGCGCAAGGAGCGCTCGCTGCACTATTGCTCCATCTGCTCGAAGGGCTTCAAGGACAAGTACTCGGTGAACGTGCACATACGTACACACACCGGTGAGAAGCCCTTCACCTGCTCGCTGTGTGGCAAAAGTTTCCGCCAGAAGGCGCACCTGGCCAAACACTACCAAACGCATATGGCGCAGAAGCACAACGGTGGTTTGGTGAAGAGCAGTGGTGGCAGCGGCGGCGGTGGTGGCGGTGGCAACTCCAGCAAACATCAGCGTGCGGCAGCAGCAGCCGCGGCGGCAACAGCAGCCGCAGCGGCAGCAGCTGCAGCTTCAACCCAAGCAGCGAATAGTGGCATGTCGATCGTGCCCAACAGTTGCGCGGGCAGTGTGGTAGCGGCGGCTGTGCATCAACGGCAACTGAATGTGGCAGCATCGTTGGGTATGGCAGCGGGCGTGCGCGCTGTAGCCGGCGGTGTGGTATCCACGGTCGCAGTAGGTGGACCAATGAACGGACCCACGCTAGGCGCGGTGAATGCAAATGTGTTGCCACCAGCGAATGGCCTGTTGGCGAATCGGTAAAAGTATGTACTTATACATATGTATATTTTTAGCGCTTTGGAAAATTATTGTATTTGTGTTTTCTGTTATTTAAGTAAAAAAATCTTGTTCCTAATGCTCAATACGAATACTCCTATGCACAAAACCAGCTATTGCCACATACTTGTACAAATATTACGGTACATATGTATGTGTCTACTCACATATCGTTGCTACTAGTTCCCTTTACTTTTTATTACTTTAACTTACTCTTAAATATATATATATATATATATATAATATATTGTATATATATTTATATATTATATTAAGAGATTACTTCTACTCGTCAAAGTGCCTAAATACTTTAATTAGAATCCTATATACTCAAATATGTGCGTTCTACTACATATGACTTCTCATCAGAACTCATCGAATTTATTCACGCATTCCTATAAATATACTTAAATACATATCTACGCATATTTAACTCTTTAAAAATACAATTTACTGTTATTTGGTAGCGATTCAAAACTGTTTGGTCTTTGTTGTAATCCAAAAGCAGCAATTCGTATAAATAAGTTCACAAATATTAAAGATTAAAAATATACAACAAAAACATTTTTAGCTGGCAATACTGAAAATAAAAAAAGCCGATATATTTTGCAAACAAAAATCGTATTCTATATAAATTTTCCAATTAGCCTACAATGACCGTCCGAAAAAAATTTTAAATTTTTTGTTTTGAAAACTAACCTCTTTTAATTGAAAAATAGTTCACAGTGGGCTACATATTAAGTATGTTTAAGCTTCCATATTTTGTTGTGATGCCGTTTAAACATAAAAAAATTAAACAGTTTACGTTTCTGATTTTGTATCCAGATTTCCTCTGAAAGCATTTACACTAAAAATATATAACTAACATTTGAAATTTATTTTTTTCCTCAATAAACTCTCTCCCACAAAACTTGGCGATAATATTGCAAAAATTATAATAATTATAAATTGACTGATTATTATAAAATTATGGCCATATACTCGTACATCGAGCTATTTTACACACTTATATGTAGGCCAGTTTTAATTTCAAATGCCTTATTTAAAATCGCTGCCTACATTTAGGATGCAAGATAAAAAAAAATTCAGTAAGAAAGGAAAAATACAAAAGATATCGAAAATCAATTTAATAAAGGCAAAACAAATTCATATTAACAAATATATATAACAATATTGGTAAAGTTTAGAGGAAAATATTAACAAAAGTATTACTCTTCAAAATTTAATAAACTTTTCGTCTTCTTAATCAACCTTTGTCATTAATATATGTTTAATTAGATAGGTACATACTTCAGCATTGTGTTTCACATCAATAAAAGAACAAAAGAAGACATTGTAAGACTCTGCATCAATCATTTTGAAATGACGATTAATCACCATTTCTGAAAATTAGTCAATCAATTGAATGTCAATTGTCCATTAACACTGCTCTTTTGTCCAATTCGATTTGCCTAAATCAATGTTAGTCAGTCAAATGAATATTGAGCAATCAAACTAAGCAACACAAATACAAAAATCTGTAATGAAGCAGTTTTTCGTTATTGACCAACACACACTTGGCTTTGTCTCACTCCCAATGAAAATCAATTGTAATAAATACCAAATTCATAATTCACACTGATTTCAATAGACTCGTATATGCAAGTTGGCAACACTTCAAATGGACAATCAATTAGACGGTGATTAATTAATCAATTGAAAGCGTGCCACTTTTAGTGGCTTTTATGAATTTAAAAAACTTAAGCAACGGTATTAAAATAAAAGTCACGAAATAATTTTTGAGCTTTCATACAACATTAATTTTTTCAAATATAGTAATATAATATAAAAAATCGGCTAAATTAAGTAGTTTTGAGTCAATGTTAATCAATAAAATTTACACATATAATACGAGTTAATTTTTATAATAACTTATGTATTGAACGCTTAAAATTCTTGCAATCAAAGACCGCTATTTTGAATCGATACTTTCTCCAAATAAAACTTTGTGAATTTTAAACACGCTGTAACATAAGTTTTGCACAAGTAAAAGCCGTTAAAAAAGAAAAATATATAAAAGTAAGTGTAGCAAAAGTAAAATTATTACAGAAAACACTATTTTAACGCTCTTAAGCTAATTTAGCAACATAAGCAAATGTGCCAAAATATATAAATTAATTGAGCTACTAAATGAAAATCTCAAGTAAAGCGACATTCATGAAAAATTAATTTAAAAAAGAGGCAGCAACAAACAAACAGTGTAATTTAGAAGCTAAATCAAAAACGAAAATGGCAAAGGAGGCTTTATCTGAAATTAAAATAGCTAAAAAAAAAAGATAAACGAAAGCAAAAAAGAAACCACAAAATATAATAAACGTTTTCTTTACGTCAATCAAATATCATTGCTGTCTAGTGAAAAATTATAATTTAGAAATAATAAATAAAAAATAATATAAAAGTTATTCACAAAGCAAATGTGATTTAATGAATATTGTACTGCTTAGGCTCTTAAAAAGAAACCAGCAATACAAATATCTGCAGATTGTTTAGAGTTTTATACTATAAAATACTACCGCACAATTATGCAGAAGATTTAATTATTAAGCTATTCATATAATAAAAGAAGTCCACACATTAAGAAAATGTGATGAGATGACCAGTAAGTATCAATAAAGAGAACGAAAAACAGAGTGCAGACAATTTCAAAACTACTGCACAGCTAAACGATTTGACTGCTCATTTTTTGACAGCACAATACTTGAGGCGCGTTTGTTTGACAGTTTTATGAGCATTGCGATTTGACAGCTCAATATTTGATATTTCATTATTTGACATTGTATTTTTTTAACAACTTATCTTTTGAAATATTCACATATTTGAGCACATACTGTTCAACAGCTGCAGTTATATTACTCGACTAAATTACTTAATTTCACTACAGCAAAAATAAATCTCTTTTCTACATTTCAAGTTTAACGCGCGATTATCAGTTTTAAGGCCTAAAGCACATGCCAAAATCAAATGTAGAAATGATTTTTAAGTATTAAACTAAAATATACATATTTTTATCAACTTTTAATGAATTAATCGAAAAATTACACAAACCTTTTACTCAAAAAGCGCAATTTTAACCTAAGTAGTTCACTTTTTGAATGAATTTTTTTTTAAAACTACACAAACTTTTGAAACAAACTGTAACTCAAATTTTTCATGTTATATGGCCTTTGAGCATAAACATTTAGTATGTAACTATCAGCTTTATACAGTGTACTTAGTCGTCTCCGAGAATCACTTTCTGACTACTTTTAATAATTTTTTTTTTCATTGCGAAAATATCAAATGACAGCGAAAAATATAAAACTAGACATTTTCAATATTTTGCGGGCCTTTTATACAAAATTATTGGCATTTTTGCCAATATTTATGAAAAATTTTTCAAAATAAAAATTAAAAATTTTAGTTTGCCAAATTATTTTTTACATTCCTTTCAGCTAAATCAGTCTAACTTTATAAAAAACTAAGTCCCACAACATATTTCAAGCTTTCTTAATTCTTTACTTCTAATATATATACATATATATAAATATAATTATTCTTTACATAACTAGTTAATTGTTAAATGAATACTTGCCATTAATGTGTATAATTGTATAATTGCCAAGTATTTGCTAAGCACAATACATACCCACATGCATAGCAACAAATCTACATAAATCTGTAGTTGTAGAGTATATATGTACATATATAGTCGCCTTAGTCATAAGCAAGCAAAAAAATTAATTTTGTATGAAATTTACAAAGCAAAGAACCTGTGCAACGAAAAGTTAGAAAATTATTTTAGCGAATATACAATAGTCTAATAGTATGTGTAATCATAAATACTCGTTTAATTACACTCGTACTTATAGTGTATTTAACTGCCAATAATGCATGTGATTTAATTATTTTCAACGGTGGCGGTATGTATTGTATTATGTTTGTATGTAAGAAGCAAGCGTTATGTATACGTATGTATGTTGCTATATGCTTACATAAAAAGTGCATAAAAAGCGTTTTTTTTATTAAATTTTGTTCACTCAAAATGTACGTAGTATTCATTTTTGTATAATAATTATTTTTGTACAAAATTTTCCACTCACTAATTAATTTGTATGTAGTTATGTGTTTTGGTCTTTACTCATACCTATGTATATATGTGTAGCCTATAGTTTGTGTTAATGTTTTTTATATTTATATTTTAACGTTCTTAATAATTAAAATTTACTTTTTATGTTTAATTTCATGCTGTGTTTTACTTAACTTTATTAGCTGGGTGTATTTTGTTTTTAATTACCGTAAGTTTTAGTTGTAAACTCGCGTAATTAATTTTGCGCCTTTCCTTTTGTCAGTAATATATATTTTTTTATGTAAAATAATAAAAAAAAAATTAAAGATTAAGTAAAAAAAAAAAAATTTTGTTTTCAAAAAAAATATTGTTTTTGTGTAATTGTAAAAAACAGCATAATTTAGAGCTAGAATAATAGTTATTGAAAATGAAAACTGTGTTGATCTGTTGCCAAGCAGCGTTGATGCGTCATTTAGTTTAAGTTTAAAACAGAAAAAATTTGCATAAATAAATAGTTTTAACTAAGTTAACTGTAAAATGTATAAAACACCTTATATATATACATATATTATATACAGTTAAATTAAAGAATTTTTAGTCTTAAAAGTGTGTTTTTAAATAAAACTTAATGTATATTAACATTTTTCAAGAAATAATAAACTTGTGTTTTACTTTTGGAGAAAATTAGAACTTTTACTCTGTGCTACAACTACTTAAAAGGCTGCCCACACTCAAGGTCTTCAAATTAAAAACACATAAACAAAATAAATATGAGATAAAAGCAAAAATATTAATTATTCATTAAAAATTGTGCTTGATATGTCTTCGAGCATGACAGACTTCTCAAAATTCCCTAAAGATTTACTCTTTTTTTTGGGCGAGGTTGAGACAAATGCCTTCCGCATCGTCATTGTGTCGTCACAGCAATAGTATGTGCCACTTGCAGGTCACTAAAAAACTCTCCTCTTATTTCGAAGGTTAACTACTGGTGGTCACTGCCAGTGTAATCCTCCATAACCTCTCAGCGCTTTACTATGCTTGCTCTACGCTCTGACGCTAGTGTGATGAAGATTTACTCAAGCGCCCGTTGTTTTGCACTTATTTACGATTCATCAATTAGTTCATCAAGGAACGTAGCAAATTTGTTGCTACAGCTGCTGTTGCCTCTGTTTCAGCTGCTGGTGGAAAGAAGGAAGAAGCCAACAGCAAATCAAAGTCAGAAGAAAACGACTATATGTTTTTCGGGATCTACGCCTAAATAGTTTAACGCTAAAGTTACATCTTATTTTTCCTTCTTATTGAAGCCTATTTAAAGGCCTTTTTAGGCATATGAAAAGGTTGCAACTCCATATCAAATATCTAACCATTAAATATTTATTCGGAAAACGTTTATAACGCTTTATGTTTGAAATATATTGTGTTCTTTTTTTAACGTATTCCTTAGGTGGCAACTCTATACTATACATATGTATGTATGTCTAAATAAAAACGTTCCAGAAAAGTTTCCTACTGTAAAAAAATTGAACGTTTACCATTCATTTCATAACATTTTATTTGCAAGCGGTGACAATTGATTTTTTTTTTTATAAAAATAATCTTTTTATCTTACCCACAAAGAAGACTCAGAATATCTAAGCTCTTAACTTCTTCACCAAGCAACTCAAGATTGCAGAATTATTAAAATGGATTTATTGCAGTCAATCGTTGCTCTCGGATATATTTTAATGACGCAAAACTAACGTCTCTCTCAGGGGGTATTTTAATTTCGAAAATGTTAAATTTTTAGATTACCCTTGTAATGAATAGTTGCCACAATGCGCTTTACGACGCAATAAGAAAAGTAAAGCCGTACACTTCAACAACACTGGCTACAAAGTTTCGCACTGAAACTTGGGAAAAACACCAACAACAATTAATGCACAAGAAGAGCACTCATCACAATCTCATCACATACCATGTCCAGAGCGTAGCATACCACACTAACCCCAAGCGACCGCTAGTTGCTGTGTCGCCTCTATTTCTTTATTTGGTATGGTTTATCGGCGATGTTTCTTTGCGCAACTACTTAATGGCGTGTGGCGATTAAAAGTGACAAGTGGCACACATGTATTATGCATGTACTTATGTACTCATTCTGCCACGAAAATGCGTGTATATGTGTGTGTGCTCACTTGATATATACTTAAGTAAGCTACGACGAGCTTTGTACAAAGCAATTCAACAATAATCGTTTGGGGAATTATGTAGTCAGCTGGTGGTCGCTAGCGCCACTTCTTCAATGAGGCACTGTGATACTGTTACTAAATAAGAAAAAGTTGCTCACAGAACTAAAGTTACAGTGTAGCGTAGACATTGTGATAGTAATAATAATATTTAATAATGTTTGCTCGGTCATTTGCTTAAGTAACCCCTAAAGCTAACTTAAGACTTCTTGTGTATATAATATACGAGAAATAGAAGCATAGAAGTTCCAAGGCACCGCTGAATAGCTAATTAATATTAACGAACATATTTTCTATTCCAGAATTGCACTAGTAGCTACTCTGCCGAGAACGACCATTTGTACAAAATTTTGCTTCAATGGGTTAGATGGTAGTATCTTATGACTTTCGTTCCTTTATTCGGAAACTTTTCAAAGGCAACTCTAAAATTTGATGCCTAGTCGGAAACAACCTTTCCTATATACTATAATAGGATTCTCTCTAAAGAATGATAAAAAATATATTTAAGTTCAAACTGAACCAGATTATCGCGAAAGTAATATGATTCTTAATAGATTAAGGAATGTATTATGAAGATACACCAAATAAAATAGAAATGAGTTTTTTAGATTATTTATTTTCTTGATTTTTGAAGCAACAAAAAGCACAAAAACCAAACTTGAGGAATAAGCGCACTTATTAAAATCAAATCAGATCTTCATTGAATATATATATATATAGCATAAAATATAACATAAATAATTTTTGGAAATACTGTCAAAGTGACAGTTCCGATTCGAATCCAAACCTGACTTCTTTTCATTCACATGAATATTAGTGTTCAGTTCCCTCTTTATTTAAGAATTTGTAGAAGAAACCGAAATATTAAACAACAACAATTACTGTTCTAAATATTGTGTCGCTAGTGAAATTTCTTCTGCATCTGGCTTCTAATGTTTGTGCCCGCTGTCAAAGTGTTTGTTGTAATGGCGCTTACTTATGAACGTGTCTGTTCATTAGTTTTGTCCTAACTTCGCTCTTTTTTTTTCAAAGTAATGAGTTCTTAATACTGCGCCATTGTTATTGCTGTTGTTGTGCTTCTCTTTTTGCTGTTATAAAAAGTTTTTGCTGCTGCTGTGCTTTGTTGTTGTCTCTTTTTTCTGGCCACTATTCGTATGCGCTGCAGCGAAGAGTTTTTCTAGCCTTTAACCGCGCACACGTCCACCAGAGAATTGAATGGGGAAAATTATAAGCAACAATAACAATAACGCCAGGCGCCATCAGCAGCACTAAGTCAGGGGTTAGTTAAACATGCGGCGCACATGCCGGTCGCGTTTGTGCAGCGCGTTGCCACATTTAACCTCAAAGTTCAGGCATTAAAGGCAATTAAGACGCGTGTGCCAAGCGATTGGCATGCGGCATGTGGCAAGTGGCACGTTGTCAGTGGTGGACACAAAGCGCATCACAAAGCGGGTGGGTCCAAGGTAACTAATAATATATTGCAACGAAACATTTAATTGAGTCTGGGCTAAGACTTTCTTTGCAAAAGTGATCAATTTTAAAAAATTGTATAATTCAAGTGAGTAATTAGCTGCTCATCGGCATTTATTCCATAGAGATTGGCTTTATTTTAATGTAATAATGTTAAGCTTACCTTATGCCATAAACTAGAGTTTAAGATGTTTAAGGACGATGAGAAATCAATTGTGAGACAAATTGTTTAGAAAATGTAAAAAAAACAAGAAAAAACGTTAACTTCGGTTGCACCGAAGCTATAATACCCTTCACACATACAAAAGATTCCTTGCAGGATTGCAAGAACTTTGATCGGTCAGTTTGTATTGCAGCAATATGCTATACTAACTTGATCACAACACTTTCTTCGGAGATTGCACCGCTCTCTTGGACAATAATCCATGCCAAATTTCGTTAAAATATCAAGCACTTCATTCCGATTCGATCATTCGATCGTTCAGTTTGTATGGCAGCTAATGCTATATTGATCCGATCTGAGCAATTTCTTCGGAGATCGCATCATTTCCTTAGGCAATGACCCATGTCAAATTTCTTGAAGCTATCTCGTCAAATAAAAAAGCTTTCCATAGTGGTCCGCTATTATTCCAACAAATGAGCAACTTCTGGAAAAGAGAAAGAAGATTTTCTTAATTTATTTCTCGCTTTTTAATTTGCCACTATTTCAAAAGGTCTAAAACTGTACATGCTAAAGTCTTGATATATTCATTGTTTCAAAACACTTTCAAAGTCCCTGAAGATTTTGGAACGCTACGATAATTATCATGGAGAACCAATAGACCTTTGAGGAATATTTAAAGACTATATGTTAGTACTTTCGTCCTTCTACTAAGACACTTTTCACATTTCTCGATTCTTGGGAGTAGCAAGAAGAACTCGATAAGGTCTATGGGTAACCAGACCCATGCCAACCACAATAATTGCCTTAAAGATTTGTAAGCGAACGAAATTTGTGTAGAATGAAGTTTTTCTGCGACCGGTGAGAGTTCTATTATTAATAATTGAAAAATTTATGAAATAAAACACCTCTGATTTTTCATAAAAAAACCAATCCCTCTTGGTTAATTTGAGTTAATTGAATGAATCAACACAGAACTCCCACACACATATATACTAGTGTATATGAAATGGAATACACACTCACTCCGTAACGCAGATAAGATATCCTAACGACTGTGTAGAACACTACTTTTAACAGCTTTTTCCTCATTCAGTTTGCATAATTAAGGAAAACGCTTCACACACATGCACAATTAGGTCACACCTGGGAATCAATTAGCAGCAACATGCGACATACAAGTCCGCAGCAACTACAAGTATGTGTGACTTGAGGGTAAGCGTAACGGCATTAGAAATATGTATGCTAAACTATAAAAGCACTAAGTAAACAGAAATTAGCGTCACACTGCAGGCGGAAAAAATGAAGCATGAATGGACTTTTGGCTGTGCTTTCGCATTACAACTACTCACGCAGGCAGTAAGTTGTCAACAAAGCACAGACTTAGCGGAATTGACAGACTATAGTGTGTTGAATTTCCTGCAAGATGTACGACAACTGCAACACTATGACCAGCTGGTGTTTGCTCACAACCGCAATGCAACTTTACCACCAGCATTCGTGGCACAAGTGCAGATGGAATCGGAGGAGCTAGAGAAAGTAGCAGACTTCAAGGACTTTCGCCTGACTGCTAGACAGAATTATGAGGACCAGTTCGTACGCAATTTGATGACAAAGCTTTCAGTGCCGATTATACATTTCAATGAGTTGAACGCTGTTCAGCTGAAGCAGCATTTTAGTATGGCGCACTTATTGCTGGTGTATTTGGAAGAGTCACTAGAGGCGCAGTCTGCGTTATTCAAGACGTTAGCGACAAGTTTAAAGCATAGAACACACACGAATACTTTATTTTTAATAAACAACAACAACACCACGGCGACCTGTGATGAGCTCTATCTGAGACAGCTCTTTCAATATTGTTGGCAAAGCAAAATGATAAATGTGGCAGCGTTATGTGCTGACTATAAGGTATATTATAGTATTCTATATATTTTTTTGACATAATTTCATCATTCGTTATGCAAACTTCCAGCGCACAAAACTATTCTACAGTTACACCCAATTTCCTGTGCTTACTTTGGAGTATAAGCTCTTGAACGCCTTACAACTACACGACGTGTCCTTCTTTCCGGACCGCCTGCGCAACTTACACGGCTACAAGGTACCCTATATAATAGGTGGCGCCGATCCACGCATTATTATCTTCGAATATAGCGGTAAACGCATTGTGGGCGGTTTCGTTGGCCACTTCCTCAACAACTTTTCAGCTAAACACAATTTTACATTCTACGAACCGCTTCCTTCACCATCCAATAGTAAACTCGCGCCCTCGCAAGATTTAATTGCGGCAGTACGCAATAATACCGCTGAGATATCGGTCGGCCTTACGTATCCAAATATACCCTTTGATGGTTTCTCTTACCCATACGAGCAGGTGAATTGGTGCGTTTGGTCGCCAATGGAAGCAGATATACCGAATTATGACTTCTTTTGGATCGTCTTCGAGGGTATGACCTTCGCGCTGGCGCTCGGTGTCCTTCTGCTCATATCCATTGTGTTGAGTTGCGCGCTCTGGCAGCATGGCAAGAAGCCGGACTTGCTGCGCTTTTTTATACACGATGCTTGCTTGCGCGGCGTTTTGGGTCAGTCATTTCGGGAGCTTAGTCGCGCCCCTTTCGTTATACGTTTCATTTACCTTCAAATATGTGTACTTGGTATATTACTGACTACTTCCTATAATGCCTACTTTGCCACCTATTGGACGAGTGCACCGAAGGTGGCACCATTGCGTAATTTCGACGACATAATGTATTCGGATAAGAAGATATACGTTTTTGCACCTGAATATGTTGAGCTGATTTCACGTACGGTAGATTTGCGAAAGTATATTCCGATGTTTTATGTCGAAAGAGATTATCATAATTACTTAGCGACACGCGACACTTACAATACAAAGTACTTGTATATGATACCAACGACCAAGTGGCAAATTTACAGTGAACAGCAGAAAGTTTTTACGACACCCTTATTTCGTTGGCGCAACGATATGTGCTTCTATCATAATATACCGTTGTGTTTTCCCATTCATAGTGATTCGATATATTCGCAAATATTACGAGACATGATTTACCAAACGGCTCAGGCGGGTCTAACAGAATATTGGATGCGTGGCGGCTTTCTGGAGCTGATCAGAGCCGGACGTTTAAATTTGGAAGACTTGAGTCGTCGAAATGAGTTCCGTGCCATGGCAGTGGCGGACATGAAGTATGTCTGGATAGGTTATGGAATTGCTTGCGCTATAATGCTAACTGTATTTCTGGTTGAGCTCTGCTATTTTCGACGCAAGCGTGCAATGGCTTTTGTTGTGAAGAGAATTAGGCTTCGAATTTGTGGCAAGAAAAAGTTGTAGACAAACCGAACATGATGAAGTATGTAAAATAAATTCTTTCATTCCATGCGTTCGTTTCAGTTTTTGCTTTAAGAAATTAAAATGAGAAAGGAGGAGAAATTTTAGACTCAGAGTGCTCGCGCGAATATTTTTGAAACAACCAAATAGCAGAATAATAGTTAGCGAATATTGAATTGAGAAGCTATTAGCTATATAAGCAGGTAATCAGCGAGTTTGCTTGGACTGTTCGAGGTAGTGCTACAGTATCCCCAAATTCTTTAGGCGAAAAGGTTTTCACGCCCTGCGCTTGAAAAACTAGAAAATCTCTACAGATATTCGTAAAACCCACAAAGCTTCAAAGATAAAGTTCAGTGATCACCAAAAACAGGAATTTGGGCAAAAAAGATAAAATTTTATAGAGATATATTCAGGATCTTTTGGAGTCAGAGACGACTCTTTCTAACTAGAAAGAAAAGTATTTACTTTTTACCTAAGAGCTTAAATTTAAGTATAACAAAAAAAATATTATCTTCGGTTGCAGCGAAGCTTTAATAACCTTCACAAATACAAATGATAAGAACTTGATTCCGATCTTTCAGTTTTTATGACAGCAATAGAGAGATTCCAATATTGCCTTAGATAATGATCCTTTCTAAATTTCGTGAAGATATCTTGTCAAATGAAAAGGTTTTCTACACAGGAACTTGATTCCGATTATTCAGTTTGTATGGCAACTATATGCGATAATGGCCCGATATTGGCCATTCCGACAAATGAAGAGCTTTTTGATGAGAAACGGTCATATCCTATATTTAAGATCGATATCTCTAGTCCCTCAAACTAGTTCGCGTATAGACAGACAGACGGACATGGCAATATCAACTCAGATCATCATGCTGATCATTTAGGTATATAAATATTTTATTGGGTCGCTGACGTTTCCTTCTGGGTGTTACAAACTTCGTGGCAAATTTAATATACTCTGTTCATGGTATAAAAATAGGGAAAGTTTCGCTTTATCGAAAAATGTATCTATCAGATTACCCCACTTAAAGTTAATTTAACATTTTGCCAAGTGAAAATGGCACAGGCGTAAGGAAAAAGTTTTTTTCGAATATAATAATACTAGAAAAAAGTTACCAACTCAAGTTAGTCGGTTATTACTGCTCGAGATTTAAAATATCGGGATCAGCAGCATTGCAATGATCAATAACGCCGCTGAAAGAATGTCGCCCAAATTCGGGCGTTCAAGTTCACTGATGAACTAATATCGGGTATACTTTGCAGCTGTTATAAAAAACTGCAACCAAGTAGAAATGAATTCCACATACCTGAATATTTGACGGATAAGTATATATTTTCTGTCTATTACATGAACATAGGGCACACACATACACACATACACATCCATCCATGGCATGAAATGCAAAACTCGCCGCTTATGCAAAAATTTCGTGCTTTTAAAATTTTTCAACACCGATTCTTTGTACGTTCCGCCAAATCAGCGCTGTTTTTGGAAATTTTTCAAGCAAATTTGCAACAAGTTTTTTTTCGTGAGCTCAACACATTGTCTGCGAAGAAGATTAGCGGCCAATACGAATTGGTCGATTTGCACGGCCCAAACACCGCAAAGCCAACAACTTGGCGGCATTATACGTTCACAAGGTAATCTCTCGAAGCCAATAAGATACATAAAAAATGGTTATATGCAGGGAATTGTTACAAACAAGACCGACAGTGTTCTGCCCACTTTATGTGAGATACGTGAGATGGTATAACGCTTTTATAGCTTAGACATTTTTTACGACTCTGTAACGGTGCAACACAAAGAGCGGACAATGGCATATTGCAGGTTGCGCAACTGTCTTAGAGCAGTGGACTAATTGTTAAGGGCACTTAGGGCTTCTATTTTAAAGACTTTCTTGGTTCTGTTGAGCAGTATTTGCTGAAAGCCATAATCAACTACTGAGAAAGAATTCTCGACAAATTTTTTGATACAGCAACACGCATTCGTATACCTTTTTTTTTTATTTGACAAAATAGAATAATACATTTGAAAAGATAGACAGTTACCCGAAATAGCGCTATTATCTCCAAGCAAATGCTCAGATCGGAACATTACTCTGACTCTTACTTAAGCTAACCTCGTATCCTACTGCGAACTACTCTCGATTTTCGCTGAATCTTCTATAGTGGGTGTAAGCTCATATAATTTAAAACTTTTAGTCAGCGAGTGCTCGGACAAATGAAATCTTATGTTTAAATATAGCAATTGTCATTAGAGATAACCACTTTTTTAAGCTTTTACGCAGCTCAAACTCTTATAATTTGATTATCATCGATATTAAACACTTTATTATGCTCTTAATTTATTCACCTTTCTTTTTAATTAGCAATTTCTCATCTGTCTCACTGACAGAAATCATTTCTCAGCAGCTGCATTCAAAATCATAATATTGGAAATTTACGAAGCAATTGAAATTACTATATAAGTGATAGTAAAAATTTGCCGTCCCAGCAATTTATGCGCATCAATATGACCCAGTAGGAAATACACATATGAGTTAATGACGCAGACCTCGGCTCGCATTTGCTAGATGTTGAGCTGAACCTTAAGTTTGCATTTGTACTGCAAATCGATTGTAGAACAGCATGAGTGGCCTAGCTCTTTTATTCGCAATAAGAGCGAGATTTCATTCGTTATTATACCATACTTTGAGTTGAGCCTTTCGAAAGGTATTATTCAACTGTGTTATTTGTCGATTGTTCTCTTTATGACACGTTTGGTTTTTATTTCCTATTACACATTTTCATATCTTTTTATATCCTGAACTGGGTACATAAAGTATATATGTATATTAGGGTGGGTCAAAAAATTATTTATTTTTTCGCTTGATACTCTGTAAAATCTCTATGAAAGTCTCTCCAAGTAAGAGCTCTTAATTGTATCGGGAAGGTCCTCAGCACACAACACTTTTATATTTTTTTCTTATTATCAAATAGAAAAATTTATAACTCGCTTCCAACCACTTGAAACAAATTTTTTCTTTCATAGATTTTACAGGAAATTGAATGTTCTACAAAATGGTCCATTACAACTTTTTCGTACACCTAACCGCATAAAATATATTAACAATTGAAGTTTGGCTATTTTAAGGCAAAGAGAGACTTTCTTACAGGTCAACCAATTTTTCAGAGTACCAAGCGAAAAATAAACATTCTATGGTTTTTTACCCACCCTAACGTATATCCCTTAGTTTTTCATATATCTATAAAATCATCGAATTTCAAACGCAAAGACTGTAGAGGACATTTATGACTTTATTACTGAGTTAGTTTAAAATAAAAATATCAGTAGCATTTCCTACAGGGTTGCGGGAGCTCTTTTGCTGATAGTAAGTACTTGTGGCAAATGTGCGTGCGAATTATTACCACCTGTCAACATCATACATTATACGTACGGACATAACATATTTGTAGCTTTTGTTGCTTTTCTTACTGATCTTGTTGTTGCTGGCCAGCTGGCTGCCAGTGCGTGTATAACAAATAAACAACTCATCGTTAAATGCGTGAAATGTTGCTGCCACGCATCTTCGTCTTTGCAACTCACTCAGTAGATTCAACGAAGCATGCACGGAGACGCTTGTAAACACCTCTTGAATCTGCCACCTAAGCATATTTACATTGTGCGCTTAAATACTTGTGTTGTTGTCGTTGTCATTCTGTGTAGGTTGCACGAAACGCATATGTCTCCACTTAAGCGCATAAGTACATAAGCACACAAGCCTTCAGATAAGTCTTAAAGTACTCATCATATTCATGTTGTTGCTGCTGTTTTTTGATGTTGCCAGCGTTTGTTAGTTTTTCACTATGATAATCATGGGTTTTACGATTTTCCTGCCTCATTTTTCATCGGCCAACTTAAATGAATATTGCTATTTTTGTTGTTATTTCTTGCCCGAAGGACCTGCCTTCTCAGGCGTGCATGTGGCGTCTATAAAAAATTAGTAGTGTTGCTCACATGCTGTGCTGCTGTCATACAAATATGAATTGAAATGAAACGAAATGTAAGGAGTTGAAAAAGAAATATTCATTTGTTTGCACACTTTAATTGAATAATGAAACACTACGCAGGTGATCGCATATAAATTTGGTGGCGATGCAATGGACAGCAGAAAATTTTTCTGAGCTTTTGGACAAGCTTTTCAGTGGTCAGTTCTGGTTAGGAAACTTTATATTCATAAAAAATATATCTCACTTTCCATATATATATAGTTTATGCTCCAAAGTCCCTCATGTTTATGACTGAAACCTTGAGAGTTTGAAAGTTGAACTAATAGTTAAAAACCAACAGATGGCTCTCTCGCAAGATAAATACATAATCTGATGTCATCACAACAAACACAACACACATAAAGATTCGCATAGAGGTGAAAAGACTTTCTTGAAAGTGACATTGGTGTAACGACTAGCTTTTGTTATAAACGGTATAGGTTTTGGTTATTTTGAACGAAAATTGAATTAAAATTACTTAGACTATAAATGGTTCTAACAGTACAGCGATTCTCTACGAATGCCTCGAAGAACATATTTCATAAATGGCTTAAAGGAGTAATCAATGGTCAATGTATTTTGTGAGATCAATGAATACTTTGTTTACATTTAATGAGGTCATTAATCCCTTTTGTTTACTTCTTATGATCATTGACCAAAGCTTTTTTTTTACCTTTAGCCAAATCAACAACTTTTGTTTACATGTAGCCAAGTCAACAACCATTGACCTTTGTTTACATATTATGGGGTTAGTGAACCTTTTGTTTACCTTTTATGGGGTAAAAATACGCTTCTATTTACCTTTAGCCAAGTCAGCAACCATTGACCTTCATTTACATTTTATGGGATCAACGATCCTTTGTTAACATTTTATGGGGTCAACAACGGTTTTCTTTATATTTTATGAGTGTCAATTGTTTACCTTTTATGGGGTCTATGACTTTTTGTTTACCTTTTGACAAGTTAGCAACCTTTGTTTACGTTTAGCTATGTACGAGAAATTGTTGAAACATCATATAGTAATGTGGAAGAAAATTTGCCAAATCTTTTTTATTCTTTATCTCAGTCTTTTATTACTGTCATAGGCTTTCTGTAAAAGTGGTGCTCCGACTAATTATGATTAAGAAAATAGTAAGACTCTTAAGGAAAATAGCTAATAAAAGAATACTTCAAACACCATTTAACAAGAAAAACATTAAAAAATTATGATTTAACTGAGTCTAGGAGTAGTTCTAATAGAACGCTGGTTTCTTTTGCGAAATGGAGACCACGGAGCACCTATTATTTTCTAGTATAGATGGCATTGATTAAATCAGCAATTGAACGATTTTTTATGGCATGGTGAGCACTATATCTTTAAATTTTATGTAAATAATCTAAAAATCGTTCCCAGCCAACTCGCAAATTTCAAATGCTCATTACAAAAATGGTTTAAGTACTTAAAAGTTTCTTTTTTTCTTTGTTTAAATGGGAGTTAAGGATTGGTATATTTTGTATTTTTCTTTTAAATTGCCCTTGTTGACAAGGCAATGACCCTATAAATTGTTTTTCCTATACAAAAGAACACAAAATGCTACTTAGTCAGCATTTCACTTGTATGATCGAACCAAAAACGATTACAAAAAGCCAGAAACATCACAGGAAAAACGGTGAGAAACGAACATTTCAAAGTCATAAAATATGCAATAAACATTACGAAAACAAGCAAAGTATTTACTAACTAAAGCGGCCATAAACTGTCTAACTAAGAGCAGAAAGAGCGACAATAATAGCAAAATAATAGCGAACCAACAACAACTACACTAACAAAAAGCGCAACACGAATAATGAAAATTTACAAGACTAAATGGCGCAAGAACAGCGGCAACAGCAACAACAATAATAATAACATTAAGAGACGACAAGACGAACATTAACGAGCAGTGGATGTGCATTGATGTTAAGTACCTGAGCGCACTCGTCACGCTTGAGACAGGTGATCGGGCTAAAGCAAGCAAAGTTCGTTGCTTAAGTCTTTTGTTTAATATCGATTTTGTAGATTTGTTTTCGGCTTGTTTTTTTTTCGCTTTTCTGCCACATTTTTGATGCGATTTATTTAGCAAATAGCGTTCAAGTTTGTTGTCGCCGCCGGCGCGCTATTGCATCTGCTTGCCGAAAAGCCACATACCACACGACGACGCGCTCGCACGCTAGGGACAATGTGGCAACATGGCAACATAACAAAGTGCGCACTACCAAAATCAGTGCCATTGTACTTGCGCATTTCGTGTATGATTTTACCATGTCTGCTCGACTTTGATTGCACCAAGCATCAAGAGCCAACGCAAATAGCTGCCAGCGCTGTCACAGTTGTGTGCAACAAATGCACAACACTTCTTGTTGCATGCCTAGGCCCAAAAGTATAAATGAAATCACTTAGCTTGGCGGCTTGTTAAACAACGAGGTTACAGTTTAGAGCGCTTCAAAACGGCAGCATTGGTGCATCATAGGCGCTGTTGCTGCCGTCTTTATTGTTGTTGTTGTGCGTATGATGCACGCTTGGTAGCCAATTAAAAGTTGGAAAATCACAAAGAAAAAATAGCAAAATATTGCAAATATGCAATTTCGCATTTTTATTATTTTTTTTTTTTTTGATTTTCTTCCATCACTGATGTTGCAACATATAACAAAAAGATGGTGCGTCCATAAAATCGCTCGCATTGACCTCTTCCCAAAAACTTGCCAC